GTCCTTTTGTTCCTCTGTGGGGGGGAAACTCCCACTAGGTTTATATCTGGGACTCTCCACCATTTGACCTTAGAACTGAAGAAGCTTCTCGGATGAAGGTGAAACATCTTCAAGCAACTTAAAGAAGTCCAGACGCTTTTCTTTGCAAGCTCCTTTGACTAAATCACTTCATGTTTCTAAAACAAAATGTGATGCACTTTTACCGTCATTTTGCTGTCACATTAACTAGAAAAGCTTCATCTTGTTCCCAGTTTTCCTGAGTTTGTAAAACACTGGAGGTTAATTTTATTTAACTATTTTATTGCACTAAGATACTAACTGAGCTATTTTTTACTTGTACACTTTAAAAATTATAGTAATGTGATGTTTTATAAAAAGTTGCCTAATTTGAATTTATGGAAGAAACAACACTGAATTATGATGCTTAAAGCCGTTGGCTTGCTTGTGGAAAAGGCTGAAATATATTTAATTAGCTGACTTCCAAAACCTGAATCCTAAATGTTTTTGTCATAAATGAAGAAGTCTGGCTTATTTTCCACAGAGCAGAAAAGGTGAGCGTTTAAATCACATTTGACTATTTTTAGATTTTAAGCTTTTTTCCCCAAATCACTTGATTTTCTTTCCTTTCTTTGCAGATTCGATCACTTAGATGTGACACAGCATGCTTTTCCGCAAAGGTACGCTGAAGTCAAAAATATCCATAAATTTAAAAGTCTTCATGCAGTTTGATGGTAGTAAAATAAACAAATGAAAGGTTATTCATGCAGATGTCACTGGGAGTACTGGTTTCAACTTTCAGCTGAAACCTGGAGGTGCACGTGTGGCATTTTGTTAAATCGTAACCAGATTTTACACCTTAAATCCATCCTCTCATGTCTGTCACTCAAAACACTGTGATACTTACAGTATGAGCACAGAGCAGAAGCCCCCGTGTATGAAAACTGCAATAATTTTACTCCTTCGATGGAGCAATTAGGAAAAAGACAGAAAGAAAGAAAGCTTCAGAGTCACCAGTTCATTGAAAAATGCTTGATTCACTCCCTCCAGAAAGCTTTTATTTAGACATAACTAATAATGCATTGGACTCCTTGTTATTTTAGCCATATTCTCAGTCTTTCACATTATTGTGGGGAAAGTTTGGCCCACTGGTCTTTACAGTGTAAAAAGGTAGACAAACATAAATCCCCCTCCAGTGTTGGGGAGTAACGGAATACATGTACCGCCGTTACGTATTTAAAATACAAAATATGAGTAACTGTATTCCGTTACAGTT